TACATTACCTTTTTATTTCAAAAATATATATATATATATATACTTATTAATTATTAGTAACTAAACTAATGAAAATATAATTAAATTTAATAAATATATGAAACAATTATTAATTAATATTTTAATGAGAAAATGGCAGATCTTGCTTTCAACTAGCTTGCTTAAGTCAAGAGGTTTGTGGTAGCTAATCTTCATCATATCAAGATGTTCGGTGAGTCGATCGGATTTGTTTTGATATAATTCATTTTGAAAAGCAGACCTACAGACGTATGTGAGCAATACGTACGAAGAAGCATACCACTCGGCAAAACGTATCTTTGAAACAATTTCTCCACCAATTTAGATTCCCGTATTTAGTCTTTTTAGCTTTGTTATTAATTAATTTATAACTTTTTTAACTTTTTTGATATAGCAGTTAATAATTGGTGGTGATAACGTATAGTCTTGTAATACTTCTTTTTTTATTTGATTGTTAGTTGTAGTGATTTCTCCTTTTTCAATGCAAGCTGTCTGATTCTTATAAAGACTGTGGATCATTCTTAGGATTTGCTGTTCAACATCTATTTCTTGTAGTGTGAGCAGCATTTTATTCTAATTTACATTATCAAAAGCTTTTTCTAGGTCTATGAAGGCCAAATATGTAACTTTATTTTTACTAATCTGTTTTTCAATTAAAATTCACAGTCCTAAAATTGCTTCTCGTGTACCTTTTTGTTTTCTAAATCCATATTGGTCATTTTTAAAGTACTGCTTCACTTTTTCTTCTATTCTTCATTTTATTGTTTTTGTTAAGGTTTAGAACTAAAATAGTAAGCAGTTTCTCACCAGTATTTAAAGTTTTTGGTAGGGGGCAACGTTGCCTGGCATTTTCCGTGTATATATTCTTCTTTTGAAGTTTTGAAATCTGGTATTCGTTATAACCATCCAATTTATGCTACAGAACTCTACTATTTTCTCTCATCTTGCATTTATTTTACCTAAGCTGAATTCTCCGATTTCTCTACCTACCATGTATTCACCAACTATATCATTAAAATATCCCATCATAATTACATTATCGTGTGGATTAACATATTTCAAAAGCTTTTCTATGCCTGCTTACATTTCTTTTATATCTTCATCATCTGCTTTTAACGTTAGCCCATCAACTTGTATAATTGCCAGGTTGTTTGATGTTGATTCCTTTTTAACCAAAAATAATCTGTTACTGTAAGTAATCACGTTTTTAACTCTTATACCTCAATTCTTATTGAGAATAATTCCAACACCGGCATGTCCTTTTTTACTATTTGTATGGATAACTTTAAAATTTTCTGACCAAAAGTCACCATTGTCTGGCCAACGTATTTCGCATAATTCTAATATGTCTATATCTAATCTTTTCATTTATATTTTTGTAATTTCCAGCTTTTCTGTTTTCAACATTTTTTATACGTTCCGCGTTCCTATTCTCTGCTTTTATGTACCCTGCACGGTATCTCCCACCCGGACATTCAAACGGGGAGCTATTTTACGTCCGGACAAAATTTTTACACTACGAGAATCTATTTTAGAAGACAAGAGTAGTAGTTGTCTAACTAAGGATGTTAATGTGGTGGTTTCCCTTTATCTTCTAAATCGCAGCCCAAAATCTTTTTCTAGGGATTGGTGTCGAGTGTAGATAATCTTTTTTATCTACACTTAATATTAGAAGCGCTGCTGCCCATCCTAGGTCCTTTTCAGTCGGTTTTTACCACAAGCACGGACTACCGAGAATGTATTCTAAATCCCACTCATAGGGGGCAAATTAGAAATTAAAAATAAATATTACCTTTAACCTGTTACAAAAACTAATTAATTATCTCATAAAAACCACTGAGAATTTATGGTTTTTTTTTTTTTTTTTAATTCTTCTTATAACAACTCGTGAATACATAGTTATTTGACTTATTTATTACAACAACCAAAATAATTTTACACTTAGAAATCTTTATAAGTGAAAAAAATATTAAATGATTTAAATTTGTTAAAAAATAATTTAGCATTTAGTTTTTGTCTCGTATGTTCTTAGTTATTAAAATAAAAAATTATTACTTCAAAGTCTCATTAATAACAACTATAACTATCGACTAACATAAACTTTTCTTTTAATCAATCAATCTATCTTAATTATAATCGTGGTAATTATTAAAAAATTAAATATAATCTAATAAATTATATATTTTTCCCGAAAAATTCTCTTAGATAAAATAATTTTACTTTTAACGCTTTAAATGAGCTATAAAATGAATCGCTTAACAAAATTTTATTTTCAGGTTTTATTAAATTTAAATGATTGGGAAAACTCTAATAGCCCTGGTGAATGGATTATTAAAAAGTCAAAATTTATATTGCTATCAATTGTGAACCAGTACGTTATGTTGAATTTAATTTTGAAGCTAAGAAAATGTTCAACATGGAGATATGTTAATAAGATTGAATTTCTCACCATACGATATAGATTTTATCGGAGATTTACAAAAAACTATGATGTAATGTACAGTAGTATAAAAGATGCAGTTTCCGAACCAGTCATTACTCCTGAGGTATATCTTAATTAAGACTAATATTTTTTTTTACATATTTAACTAGTACTTTACGGATTTTAAAAACAATCTAACGTTTTAAAATAAAATCTAAAACAATTAGGTAAATATTTTGTATGAGCATGTTATGAATAATTCATTAATCGAAAAACACTCACTATTTCAACATCAATTAAGGTTTTTGAAAACATTGTTTTCGCTTAATATCTCCAGTTAAAGTTATTTTTAAAAATAACTCATATTTTTTATCATATAAAATTTTAAGTTTTTACTTTTTTTAACATACATATTTAAATTTATATTATTAACCAAAAGATCTTTCTAATTATTTAAATATGTAACAATCGACATTTGGACCAATAGTTTTTGAGTTATAAATATTTAAATTTTTTGTAAGCGGAATAATGAAGTATGGGATTACCCCACAAATTATTAATTTCTTATGCTACATACTTAAATTTCACATCGATCGTAAAATATGTCATCCTACATTGTTTTTATAAAATATTTACTATATTATAATAATTGCTAATTTTGCATGTTTTATAAACTTTTTTTTTTTTATTTAATTCCGACACCTTGTCATTCTTGATATTTAGTCTAACAGTACACATTTTCCATTTATATATTTTAATCAACGTTTTTAAACACTCGACTTTTTCTTTGTTGCTTCCAAATAAGGTTTTTATTACTGAATAGGAGTATACAATCGAAAAAAAGTAAATAAGATTTAAAGTAATATGACAATGTTATACAATAGATTTTTATATATACAGTCCATATCATCTATAACGACGGTCAAGGGACCATAAAATATATGTCGTTATAACCAAATTTTATTATTTTTTTTATTTTTTGTTCATACATATATTATACACTAGTATTCTATTTGTACATGCATTTTTAAACCACATATATACATTATAATAATTTAATTTGATTTAAATTTTATTTTACAAATACATAGGTACATATAATTTTATTATAGCTTAGAATTTAAAATTTAAAATATTGCTTACATAAATAATTTTATAACACATTACAATTAATTTAATCAGTAAAAAAAATTAAAAACTCAGCGATTTTTAGATGTTTTGATTTATAATTTAATAACATATTTTGTATAATGATTTTTAATGAATTAACATTGTGATGTAAATCAATATTATTTAGTAATGAAAAATTGACAATATTTTCTACTTATTTATACGTTCATCTACGGTTAAATAATCTATATCTTCATCAGTGGTTTCCTTTTCTTCTTCTTTCTCGTTTGGTTCGGATATTGTACTCACTATGTCCTAGTCACTTAATATTCCTGTAATTGCTACTTCATTGTCTATATCTACATAATTTTTGAAATTTGGATAGTCAAAATTATTTTCTTGAACGTTTAAAGAATTAAAAAAACTTTGTACTGTAGTGAGAAATCCCGCATGAGAAAAACAAATTTGTATAGTTTCTACTGTTATTTCAGTCTATGATTGAGTTAATAACAAAATGGCATCCAAAACATTTAATTTGGTTTCTTTTCTGTGTTCAATATTATCAATCATTTTGAGAACTAACAATTTTCTAAATTTTGTTTTGAGACATTTTATAATCCCTGGTCCATTGGTTGTAATACTTATGTGCAGTGGGGGGGGGGGGGGGGGGGTAAAAAACTAGCTTAATATCGTATAATGTAAATCATTTAAATTAGTATGCGATGGACAGTTATCTACTAATAGTAAAATCTTTTCTCTCTTTCTTTTTAGTTCACTGTCCCATTTTCGTAAAAATCTGTCCCACAATTATTCAGATGTCATCCATGCACGTTTATTTGCTTTATAAATCACTGGCAAAGACTTAAAATTTTTAAAACTACGTGGTGTCTTTGATTTTCCTATCTTAAAAAGTTTCTTTTTTGATGTTCCGGTCATATTAGCACACATAAGTACGGTTAACCTCTTTTTAGACATTTTTCCTCCAGAACAAGCCTCGTCTTTAAATTTAAAAGTTTGTCAGGTAGCATTTTAAAAAATAATCCTTTCTCATCACAATTATAAAATTCAGCATCATCATATCCCCGCGCAATTTTGGCCAAACCATCTCCATCCATTTGGTTATTTCATCGATATTTACATTGATTCTTCATTAACTTTGGAAAAAGTAATATTGTGTCTTACCCAAAATCGCTGAATCCATAATGAAGAACATGAAAAATATTTACTCAATAGTTTTGATAAATCGTTTGCTTTCTCTTGTAGAATCGATACATTGAAACTTCGTTGTGTTTTAAACCATTTTAATAAAGCATTATCAATATCTTCATGATCACTACCACGAATTTTTTAACGTTAATCTTTCGCACTCAAATTCTCGTTTTATTTTATCTCGACTTTTCCATATTGTATATATCGTAGAATGACCTACACCAAATTCAGTCGTAACATTACTTTTTTTTTCATTATTCTCCAAACGAAAAATTATATGCGCTTTTTCTTCGACAGAAAAATGTTTTCGCTTATTCTTTTTAATGCTTTAATAAAACACGTTCAACGGCACTAATATAACTAAAATATCAAATTACCGATATTTGTAGATTTGTGGTAATACCTCATAATATGTACTATGTGTATTAAATTTCTATCTTTTTGGTAGCTTTGATGTTATTTTAAAAATGCATGAAAGCACCTAATATATTACATAATAACTGTGTGAAGATATCCTATCTAATTACATCGACAATGTTAGACGATCAATTGTGAAAATAAATAATATACAGTCATTACATACAATTTAAATGCGTGTTACGGCCAATGTCGTTTTAACCAGTTATTTTAAATGTATAAATAAACGAAATTTTGCCGGGTCCTTGAAATTAACGTCGTTATACCCCATATATCATTACGATCAGCGTTGTTATAGATGGTACCGACTGTACTTTTAATTTATATGATTAATTCGTTTATTAGGTCATACAAAATAAAGCCATGTCATTTTTATAATTCTCGCTTTTTAAGTTTTAGCTTTACTGATCACTATTTTTAAACACAGCGATTTGGATTAATTTTAGGACCGTTTGAGAAATTTTGAAGCACATGAATTATTTTCAATGTTTTTGATGGAGCGCAATGACATTGCATTTAAAAAGGTTAATTATGCATAATGCTTTTTAATGATTTTTGAATACTACACATCGTTAAAATATATTTATGAATTTCTAAAAATTTCCACTTTTTTACTGAATTTTTTTAATTTATCTTGTAAATAGTTTTTTGAAGTATCAGTCATAAAAATAATTTCAATATAATTTTTTTAACTTTGAATTTAAAGAGCTTAATACATAAATATATTAAACACGATAGCGACATACAATAAAATATGTTTTATGTATCACTAAATTTTAATTTTAAGGACATATTTTTTTTTTTTTTTTTAGGCGAAAAAATAGGTGTCAGTAAAGCTTATAATACGTTTTTGAGGGATCCTAGTCTCCGTTAAAAGTTATAAAAAACACTATAATATATTTTAATAATTCGTAACAGGTGATAATTTATAATATCTAATGTACTGAAATACTGAATTGTAATTACCATGAATAACAATAACAATATGTGTTTATTAGTGTGGTGATTCGTAACTAACAAATTGGTATAGTAAATAAAAATCATCTTGTATTAAAAAAAAAACAGTAAAAACATAAACCCAACTAAGTGGACATAGTAAATCAGTTTATATTACTAGGAATAATTTATATATTTTTTATATTAAGATGATAGTTTGAGTACGATTGATGGTATGTTGAATTAAATTGTTGAAAAAAGGTTCATGATGTATACAGTATACTTCAAGAAAGTTTGAAGAGATTAAAATTAGTTTAAATACTAAAAAAATCATAATAACTGTGTTGAAAATTTATGCAGTTAGCATGTAGCCAAATCAAAGAATGCGTAAATCTATAATCACTTAACCCGCTTCTGGTCGCATATTTTTTTTTTACAATTTTCTATCATATGAAACTGATATAAATACTTACTTTTGATTATTATATAATTTGCATTGCATATGTATAATTATAACAAAAACTCTTCGTTGAACTCCGTGTAAAAAATGGCCAAGTAAGAAAAAAAAAACAGATCACTATAAAGGTGTTATATCATAAATAAATGCTAAGTAAATTTAATTTTATTCAAATAAACTATTTAGTTTCCAATTTTGACTTATTTACTTGATGAGAAATTATTTTGAGTAGAAATGTTCATTGCAATGTTTTAAATTTTAATGAACTTCTTATTCCTTTTGTTTATATTGTTCACGTATTTCGTGTGCGGTGCCATTTAAAGTAGGTACTTACATAAGTATATGGATAATGAGCACAATGTTTCCCCATAAGGATATACACAAAGGTACGTGGAGGTCACCAGATGGACAACATACCAATCAAATTGACCATATCCTAGTGAGTGAGAGATTCACAAATGCTGTTAACGACGTACGAGTATATAGAGGAGCGGATTGTAACACAAATTAAGAGATTAAAAAACAATAAATCACCTGACGAAGATGGTATACAAGGTGAAATCTTAAAATGTGTTGATGAAACAATCATTGAGATGATTCATAAACTAATTAAGAAAATATGGAATACTGAAGAGATCCTAAAGATTAGAATACGGCATTAATTTGCCCTATACACAAAAAGGATGATAAAAAAGAATGTAATAACTATAGAGGTATTGCCTTAGTGAATATAACCTATAAAATCCTATCGTATTACATTCTAGACAGAATCAAACCGTTGGCGGAAAATATCATAGGTGACTATCAAGGTGGTTTAAGAGAAAATAAATCCACAATAGACCAAATATTTATTATAAGACAACTAGCTCAAAAAACCTGGAAATTTGATCAAGAACTACGTACACTTTTTGTAGATTTTAAAAAGGCGTATTATCATGAAATGAATAAGCCATTATACACTGTATTATAATGTTTTAATTTAATCGAAAAATTTTATCGTGCTACAACGAAAATTCAATTGATATGATACCTTTTTCCGACTGTATAAATTTAATTGAGCTGTTGAAGATACTCGCAGAGAAGATAGTCTCTGTATGTATTTTATACAATAAACCAAGATAAATGGAAGAATATTGTGATCCTGTCACAACAAGGCCAAGAAAAATTAGTGGTAAAAGGCTATTTAATGGTGACAAATAAAAATAGAAATGATCTCTTTTATTGGAATTGTGAAAAAAAAGTTTTATTTAAATGAAAAGGGCGGGTGTTAACAATTTTAATTGATGGAACACATAAGTTGAGATCCGACAATGACCATAATCATGCTCCAGAAACTAGTCGAGCTCCAGTTTATATTGCAAATTCTATATTAAAATGTAAATAACAAATTTACAATTATCTATTATATTTAACAATATATTTTTATTAATTATAATACAGTTTTTATCACTGCATGTATTATTTTCAATCAATTTTTAATATTAATTATGGGCAAATTTTTAAAATAAAAATATAAATTAAACGTGAAATTAAAATACTAAATATATTATTGTCGGAATTTTGGTTGTCGATCGATTGACCCAGAACCGCTAGCGCAAAATCGTGAAGGATGAAGACAGTTATGTTTGAATGTGTGTTCTAAAAGGCCGTAAACAAAAAAAAAAAAAGATAATATGCATACATATTGAATATTTTATTCACTCTTAAAATTCAAACTTAATGCCTATGCTTTTATGTATAAATGAAGTAGATTTTGTCATATAGCTAGGGTTACCATACGTCCGGATTTCGTCCGGACAGTCCGGATTTCAAACACCTGTCCGGATTGGCGTCCGGATTTGAAAAATGTCCGGATTTTATAAAGGTAACCGTTTAACGTGGTTATATTGATACAAAAAGTTATGTTTGGTGACAGATTTCCGGGTTAACTCTGTATAAATTAATAATATCTAATTTCTATTTTTATTCATATTTTTTCCCAGAACGTCACGATAAGCGACTATTCATTATTATCGTCGTTGCCATAAAATAAAATAAAGTATTATCAAATGTAGTCCTACTAAATAAGTATTCGTGTGTTTAATTCGTTCACATGTAATGGGTACTGGAAAACGACCCGTATAAATCGTACAATTCACTCGACAGTCGACGCTTCGACAGTTTCTTTTCTGTTTTATGAATGAAGAGGTGGTTGTTATTTGTTTTTCTTGTAGTTGTGTTTTGCTTGAAATATTAAATATTATAGTTTTGTTAATTTATGGTGCTACGTCTTCAAAAAATGCCTAAACGTAAGTGTGTTTTTACCGACAAACTAAAAGAAGAATATAAGTTTTTAAAACAGTGTCAAAATACTAATGACCGCGTGAGATGTTCGACATGCAATTCCGAATTTTCTGTGGAGCATCGAGGACGGTATGATATTGAAAATCACATACAAAGTGACAGACACAAAAAGGCTAGTCAAGCGGTGTCCACAGCAAGTATTAAATCTTTTTTTAAACACATTGACGCTACAAATGACGAATTGCAGTGTGCGGCCAAAGAAGCAACTTTTGCTTACCACACTGCCACACACGGATTAAGTTTTAGAACGTCCGACTGTACTGCCAAACTCATTAAAAAGTTTTTTGAGCCCAAATATTCAGGAGCTAGGACTAAAACGGAAGCAATTATTGTAAATGTTATATCTCCTTACATATTTAATAAATTACTTAAAGATCTCAAAGATGTAAATTTTGTTACATTAACGATTGACAGTTCTAACAGAAAAGAAATTAAACTGACTCCCGTATGCGTTCGTTATTTTAACAAAAATGAAGGAATTAAGGTTAAACTTTTATATTTTGATCAACTTCCGGGTGAAACCTCTGATATTTTGGTAGAACATCTTTTAAAATGTATTAAAAAGTATTCTATTGAATCAAAAGTTGTTTGTCTTTGTGCTGATAACACTAATACTAACTTCGGTGGTGTAAAAAGAAAAGGTCAAGGAAATGTTTTTCGAAAACTGCAAAAATCTTTGTCTCGTCCTATTCTTGGAATTGGTTGTGCGGCTCATATTTTACATAACACTGTCCAGACAGCATGCGATGCTCTGTCCATTGACGTTGAGGTAATAGTAGTAAAAGTCTATAAATTCTTTTTTCAATATACTGTCAGAGTGACTGCGTTAAAAGAATTTTGCGAATTTGCAAATATAGAGTATAAAAGAGTCCTTTCACATGGAAATACGAGATTTTTGAGCTTATTACCTGCCATAGAACGGATATTGTTATTGTTTGACGCCTTAAAGTCGTATTTCATGGCTATTGAAAACTGTCCTGCTGTGTTACTTGCATTTTTCAAAGACCCAGTATCTGAACTTTTTTTAAAGTTTGTGCATGGAACTGTTCAAATGTACCAAATATCTATTCTTAAACTTGAGTCTGACTATATAACTGCTTCAGAAGCAACACAAGTGTATGAAGAATTAGTTATCAAACTAGAAGAACGGAAAGAAAATAACTTTATACCATTTGCAGCTAACCAGCTACTTGTTAAACTTAAAGATGATAATACAATTGATAATGATAAGGAAAATCATTTTCGTAAAAATATGGAAGGTTTTTATCAAGCAGGGATAAATTATTTAAAACTTTGGGAAAACAGCTTTGACAAAGCTAACAAATTCAAATGGTTAACGCTACAAAATGATCCTACTTGGGAAGAAATGGAGGCTAGTGCAATAATAGTTGTCAGTATTGTACCAAATTCTATCAATGTGGATCAATTATTTGATGAACGCTCGTCTCTGGTCCAAGTACTAAGACATCTGAAACCCAAATGGGCTTCACAACAAAATGAATTAACACCGAAAATGCATGAAAAATGGAAGGAGATATTTGATGCATTTTTTAGAAGCAACGTTTCTTTTTTGAATATTTTTAAAATAATAGAATTTGCCATGTGTCTGCCTGGCACTTCAGCTCCCGCCGAGCGTATTTTTTCAATGATGGGGTCTATTTGGAGTGCTGAAAGAGGAAGATTGTCAATAACAGTTTTAAAAGAGCTGCTTAACATTAAAGCAAATTCTGATTTGTCATGTTCACAATTTCACGATAAAATTAAAATTGACAAATGTTTTCTGAAAAAAATTAACGCATCTGAAAAATATGAAAAGAAAAAAGACGATGAAGAATGTTGCGAACCAGGACCCAGCACGAACTGAATAAGGAACTGATAAAAATTATTATATAAGTTAATTAATTATTATAACATGTTTAACCTAATAACTCTTATGTAGACGTTTTATTTATAGATTTAAATAAAATTGTATTAATGAAAGAACAATACTATTTAACTTTAATTTTACCCCCCCCCTCCTCCCCCTGAAACGGAACTGATGTCCGGATTTGGTCTAAAAACATTATGGTAACCCTACATATAGCCCTT